AAGATACAACTAACATCCAGCATTCTCTCCATAAAATGGGTCTCCAGACTTCACATTTTTGCTTACTAACTCTAACATGTATTTATCTCCATTTTCAGATAATTCCCCCACCTCCTCCTATATGTCCAGATTCTCTTGATGATGCTGATGCTTTGGGAAGTATGTTAATATCCTGGTACATGAGTGGCTATCATACTGGTTACTATATGGTAAGTGATCACTCAGCATTTTTTCCTAACAGTTTGTGGTTCTATGACTTTGTTGTGTTTGTGACTAAAAAGTGGTTTGTCACGTTAGGCAGATCCTAAGAGATGAAAACTACCTTAAAGTTTAAGAAAAACAACTATTTGTTTAAGGCTTAAATTACTTGTATTGTCTCCACTAAGTGTAATTGCAGTGTATTTAAAAAATCTTTCACGTTATGAGATTATTTTGATTATATTTTCTAATTTAATGATACTTTCTCAGTTATTTTCCAGTCTCATTAATCTTTCTGTTTTGATTTGAAATAAAATGGATTGTAGGAAATGGGGAGGTGGTCTGGGAAAGGATAGTACCTTGCCTAAAAAAAGAAAAAGAAAAAAAAAATTAGGTTCTTTTCATACATAGAGGAAAATCTAGGGTGATAAATGCCAAGACAGACCCTAGAGACTGAAGCTTCAAACTTGTCATATGAAACATCAATCTGTTGCAAACACGTTCTTTTGTAATTCAGCATGAAATTTTTTAATTTTTTATTTTTTTAAGTTTTAGAAAAGAATATTAGTCCATGCTAAGATATGATGTTTTATTATAGGTGCTTGAATTTTTAGTTAATTAATATTGAGAGTAAAATAACTCACTTACAGGCGTAATTTTTAAGTGTCTCATCTGTCCATGTCTCCGTTAATATTCTTATTTAAAAGCTCCTTTTCAGCTGTTTTATAACCATGATATATTTGTACTATATGATGAAGTTCCCCTTTTAATGACCAAAAAAGATAATAAAAAGTGACAAATTAATGGTTTATAATTTGTTTTGAGACCAGTCATCTGACTGACTTCCTAAACTTCTTTCTTCTGCACTTCATATTTTTCTGCATGTTTTTTAAAAATTATGAAATATTTTGAAAAGTAATATGTATAACATATATAAGTTTTGACATAGTTTGTTTATTTTTAAATTTTTTAGACAGAGAAAGATAGAGGAGGGGAATTCATCCATAGCACTATTACCCAGATGCAATGTATTTTGACTTACTTTCAGAGTCATATTATGCATAGGTTCATGGTTTTAGTTGTCGTTGTTAATGTAAGCTTTTAATTGAAATATGCATGTAGATTTTACTTCCAGACTACTAACTCAGTGGTCATTTTTCTGCCTTTATCTGTCTTATCAGCAACATTTTTATACATGTGACCACAGTTTTGAAACGTTTTTCTCTTGCCTTCAGTGACACCATAAAATCTACTGGTTTTATACCATCCTCCTTGACTGCTCCTTTGGGACTCCTTTAACAACTTTTTATCCTCTTCCCAATACAATAGTCTTCCTTTAGCTGCAGTTTCACTTTCTGCTTTTTCAGTTACCCTCAGTCAACTGCAGTCTGAAATTATAAGTGGAGAATTCCAGAAATAAACAATTTGTAAGTTTTAAATTGCACATCTGTCCTGAATAGCATGATAAAATCCCCCACCTTCCTGCCAAGACATGAGTCATCCCTTTGTCTGGTGTAGCTACACGGTAGATGCTCCCCTCCCGTTAGTCTATCAGATTGACTGTCTCGGTATCACAGTGCTGGTGTCCAAGTTACCTTATTTTACTTAATAATGCCACATTCACATAACTTTTATTACAGTATATTATAGTTCTATTTCATTATTAGTTGTTTAACTCATACTGTCCTAATTTATATATTAAACTTTATCATAGGTATGTCTATATAGGAAAAAACGTAGTATACCTAGGATTTGGTACTGTCCACAGTGTCAGGCATCCACTGGGGGTCTTTGAATGTATCCCTTGCTGCTAATGGGAGACTACTGAACCTGAGTGAAATTCCTTATGTCCAAGTCACAGCCCCCTTGTCTTCTCTATAAACTCTCACAAGGTGACCTCATCTGCTCTATGACTTAAAGTGGTATGTTTGCCCTGCTAGTTCTCAGATGTCTAGCTCTGAATTTTAGGGCTTGTTTATTCAACTGCCTGTTTTGCCTCACCACATGAATGTCCGTTAAATACATCTCATACTAAACAGCAGCCAAAACAAATCTGCTAGTGTCATCCCATACAGCCTTTTACATCTATTTCTATACCTTTTACATCTCGGTAAGCAATAACATTGGTGCGCTAGCCTCACCAATTTCTTAAGCCACAAACCTGGAGTTAGCCTGATTTTTCTTTGCTTCATTTTCTACATGCAATTTGTAAGAAAGTCCTGTTGACTATTGAGACACAGATCTTTAATCAATGTACTTTGCTTTCTCTTCACTGCAACTACCCCATTCAAGACATTATCATCTCTTTTTTAATTGAGATCTAATCCACTCTTTTAAAGTATAATCTCAGCAGTTTTAAAATTATATTTACAAAGTTGTGCAATCACTACCACTATCTAATACCAGAATCTTTTCATCACCCAAAAAGAAACCCCATCCCAATTAGCAGTCACTCTCCAATACCCCTTCCTCCCAGACCCTGGCAACCACTAAGCTACTTTTCTATTTCTGTGGATTTGCCTATTCTGGACATTTTATAAAAATGGAATCATATAATATGTGGCCTTTTGGGTCTGGCTTCTTTCACTTGGTGTAAATTTCTCAAGGTTCCTCCATGTTGTAGCATGTTATCAGTACTTCATTCCTTTTTATTGCTGAATTAATATTCCATTGTTTGGATATACTGAATTTTGTTTATACATTTATCAGTTGATGGACAGTGGGTTGTTTTGTCTTTGGAGCTACAATGAAGAATTCTAGCACAAACATTTGTGTATAAGTTTTATATGGACATATGTTTTTAGTTTTGGGGAGGTTTGTATGTAGGAGTAGAATTTGTTGGCTCAAAAAAGTTACTCTAGAAGAACTGCCAAACGGTTTTTGGAAATGACTACATCATTTACATTTCCACCAGCAGTGTATGAGGGTCCCTATTTCTCCACATCCTCGCCAAATTTATTACTGTCTCCCTGTTTGATTATAGCCATCCTTGTGGGTATGAAGTGATACCTTACTGTGATTTTGATGTGCATTTCCCTAATGACTAAATGATGTTAGGCATCTTTTCATGTGCTTCTTGGCCATTAATATTTTTTGGAATAATGTCTATTCATATCCTTTGCCTGTTTTTTAAATTGGGCTGTTTTTTATTGATGTATTATAATAGCTTATTTTATATTCTGACTAAGACATCATTATTTCTTATCTTAGTGCAATAGATCCCAACTGTTCTTTTTGCTTACAAAATCTCATATCCCACTCTGCCAAATCCATTCTCCATACAGCAGCTAGAGTGATATTTTAAAATGTGCAGCATAGTATATCTATCCCTTTAAAACTCTCTGATAACTTCCAGTCACACTTAGGTTAAAATCCAAAACCTTTATCCTGGTTTGTAAAGTATTACATGATGTGTATCTTGCCATCTTCTTTACCCACATTTTAGTCCACATTCTCCCTCACTCTACTCTTGCCAATGCCGGCCTCTTTTCTTCCTCATATATACCTGATTTATACCTTCTGCAGGGCCACTAGCTATTTTTTAATCTGGCAAGTTCTTTCAGATTTCACTTGTCTGTCTGTCTTGTCATTCAGATGTCAATTGAAATGTCACTTTCCTTGTTTAATCTAGAAGTGACATGCCTTCATTCTATGTCCTGTCACCCCACTTAGATTCTCTATGTGGCACTTATCATTCCTGGCATAATTTTCCATACTGGTTTATCTGTATCCATCCAGCATAATAATGTAAGCCTTATGAGAGCTTGGATCGTGTTGATCTTGTAACTCTTGAATCTCTAGTCTGAAATATTGCCAGGTTCATAATAAGCCTGATTTAGAATAAGCTCATAGTTTGCTGAATGTTGAACATAGCTAGCAATAGTTTAAAAATATGAATGTACTAATGTGTTAGAATATATTTGATTTGAAGGACGATGTGGGTGAAAATTAGAGTCAGCTAAATTGTATTTACAAACATTCTTATTTCATGTACTTGATTGTCCTATGTTATTAAAATCTAGCAGATTTTCAATAGACATTTAACTCTGGTCCTGACCAACAAAAGACAGATGTTTCTGTTTCTTTCATGAATTCAAGCACTAGTTCTTGGGGAAGCAGCCTTGACCAGAATATTTGCCACAAATTCAGGGCTAACCTTTGATTTTTTTTCCAGAGAAATGATCTTTATTTTTAGAAGTATTATTTGTATAGCTAAATAAATTAAAATGTAAACATAATGCTTATATTCAGAAGTATGAAGAAATTGTAGTTTCCTGGATCTTGTATTTTTGTCTCTTTGAAATTTTTATCACTAAAAAGAAGCCACTACTCATTGTCAAGTTTTCTAGTAACTTAAGTGTTTTTTAGACACTATTGCCCTTAGCTAACAGTTCTTAACCATTGCTTCACAAAAGCACACGCGATTGACAGCTTGTTTCCTGTTCCCACAAGAGAATCCAGATAGGATTTGGGTTCAGCTCTTAACCTCTGGCTTTTTCTGGAGATCCAAGCAGAATGCAAATGACTAAGAGTAATGTTATTGGAATAACATTACGCTATAACTTTGGTACTCATTAGTAACAAACCACTCTTAATAAATCTTATGGTCTCTAAGATATAGATTAGTAGTGAAATGAAAAGTTACTGTATATTTTTTGAAAGATAGAAGGCATTGAGGCCAGAAGAGAGAGAGCAGATATTTGGATTAGGTCTAACCAGAAAAACAATGCATATGTAAGTATTAATTTTTTTTTTAACTTCAAAAATGTTTTCGTTTAGTGAGTGCTGGTCTTTAATGGTTTTATTTTACTAAACAAATATGACAATTGTATATTTTATTTGATGGAAATAAGATATAAATGAGCTCTTGAACATCATTGGTCTTGGTGAAAGAAGAAAATTTCTTAATTACAGCCTAATTATTTACTTTGGGATTAATTTTAAAGCATTGGAAGGCTATAAACTTATTTTCTGATGATATTTTGTTAAATAGATTTACTAAAATGTCTTATGTGAAACAAAATGTTTATTCACATTTATATAAAATGTGTTTGCTATTCTTTAAAAAATTTTTTTCCTTACAGGGTTTCAAACAAAATCAAAAAGAAGGAAGGTGCTCACATTTTAATTAAGGAGTAAGTCTGCCATCATTATAAAAATGAATCTTTTGTATAAATGTATAGTTTGTGGAAAACATTTTTAAAATTGTTAAAAAGTAGAAAAGTTAATATAAAATATTAAAGACATTTTGACACCACAACTATTTGACAAATGGTTTATTTATATCCCCTTTAGAATTCTCAGGACATCAAAGTATCATCTCACCAAATACTTGTTGGTTGGGAGTGTGGAAAGAAAAACATACTTTTCAATAAAGAGATACTTAGAATTAGTGATGAATCTTTTCTTCACTGTGGTCAGGCAGGCATACTTGCTTTTTGATTTTTGGTGCAGTATGCAATACACTCACTGTGTTACCTGTTAAGTGTTCTGGTCAAAAAAAGTGTGACTGGAATTTAATCAAGCCTTTAAGATCTACTTTCCCATTTACTAGATATACTGGGAATAGAGCATCAAGTTAAATTAACACCACAAAAGAAATGATCAGACAGCTCCACAATGGGAAATATAACTGGCCTTATTTCTTCAAAACGTCATTGTCATGAAGGAAAAAATAGCGCAGAGTGGGTAACTAGATTAAAAATGGCTTAAGAGACACAACAGCGAAATACAGTATGGCATCCTTGATTGGACCCTGACTTGAAAAGACTTGGGAATTGAAGAAATTTGAATATGGATTGGATTTTAAATGATATTGGATAATTATAGCTAATTTTATGATCTATGATAAGGGCGTTATAGTTTATAGAAAAATAAATTTACATACTAAAGTATTTAGAAGTGAAATATAGTATCTCAATATGTTATTTAATGATTTAACTATGTATATATGTGTGCACGAAGCATACATGGCTATAATTGAATCTAAAAATGATGTGTACATCGATGTTTATTGTACTGTTTTTTTTCTATTTTCTGTATGTTTGCAAAGTACATAATAAAAATGTTCAGTATTTTAAAACTAAATTAGTAAAAGCCATGTGTCTATCATTGTATGTCTTTTTCATGTATTACACTTTTGGTCCATATTCATCTATATTTTGATATGGATGCTATAGCATTTTGTGGGTGCATGTGTGTATTTCCACTTAACATATTTTTAAATGCTTTTACATATTTCTATCAGATTATCTATATGTTATGCCACTTATTTCTTTAGTTCAGAAGTTTTGGGCATTTGGATAACATTACAGTAAATATCTTATGTAGTGATTTGATTCTATTCTGTTAATAGCCTTAGGGTAAATTTCTGAGTTATGACTATTTGATGAAAGATTGTGGATGTTATTATGATTCTGGGTAGCTGTTTCCATGTTGCCTTGAAAAGCAAATTTTCTGTTTTGATTTTCAAAATGGAAAATGCATTTCTTGGAGGGGTATTTTTTAAATTATGTAAATCATCACATTTGGAAGTATAATTAAAGTCATTTTCATTCAGTTGAAGTTTTTCACTAGATCATGCAAATCTAAAAAGGTGCATAGAAAATTTAGGCAGGGGATGAAATAGATTAAAGTGTCTTAGAATATACAAAGCCAGAATCATTAAGTACAGTGTGTTTCAAGGCCCGAGGTAACTCAAATGTCTTAACTCTGTTCCTAATGCCACTCAGCCTTCTTATCCCCCCATCCACATAATTTCCTGTCTTTGAACCTGCTCTCTACTTAATTTCTATTACATAGCTTTTCACATTTATATTATCTTTATTGTGAATATATGTCTTCCCTCTGTCGTTAGAGGCAAGGCACTATATCTCATTCTTCATCATGTCTACAATATTTGGCACAGTTCTCCCCCCCCACCCACACACACAATAAACACCTTTATTACATGAGCTAAGATGGGGGAGGAGGATATATTTGCCTTTCTGGGCCTTGATTTTCCTCAGATGGAACTCCAACTTCTTGCCCTCTAGCACGTAGCCATCTGCTTGGCCACATTGGCCTGGTCTTGAAGCAATGCGTGCAAGAAGATTGCCCTGCTGGAACTGCTCCTCTAGAAGTAGTTTCTGAAAGATTATCATATTGTGATGGTTAAAACAAAATGTACAATGATATTACACTCTATATCTCACAAGTACATTAAGATTAATTTGTTAAATTTTGGGTCATTATGTACTTCTACATGACAATAATAAATATTTTGGGCTTTTTTTGTTTAACATAGTTCCATAGGATTATTTTATGTATTGAGGATTGATTTCAGATATTGGGCTTCCATTTCTAAATAGTTTTGTAGATCATCATATGTTGTCATATTGCTTCCGCAAAAGAACAAACTAGTTAATAATGCCCTAATTCTTCATACTTATCTAATTGTTAGAGTATCTACGCATTATAGTTTAATTATTTCTTTCTTCATTTTTTCTTTTTATAAAAGTTCAAAAATTCGAACTAATATTCAGTTTAATTCTTTTTTGTGTTTACATTGTTGCTTGTTATATATAGCAATCTGATAGGAAGATATATTTAAATGAAAATAAGATGCAGAACTATATGTATTATGATATCTGCTATTTCTTTAAATTTGTATTTAAACACATGTATATATTGCATCGATTATCATCTCAGAGCGATACTCTGAAGAGGGATTAGAAGACAAGGGCATGTCAGGGAGACTTAACAATATACCCTTTTGTATTTTTTCTATTTTCGTGCTGTTTACATTTATTGACAATAAAAAATATGTAATTAAAATCTATTAAATCTATCATTGTTATTCTTTTAAACTTTTTTTGTTTTTATAGGTAATTCATACAGTATTTTTTAACAGGTAAGTGCTTTTTCCTCAATATTTATTGTTTGTATTGAGATATATATTTACTCTATATCAGTAAATAAAACTGTCTTGTTTTACACAGTTGCAGGATATTCCTATATAGAGATGTATACCATACTTATAGCTCTTATTGGTGGAAGTTTAGGCTGTTTGCAATTGTTTGCTACTTAATACTACAAACAGTATTCTTTTACATTATTTTTGTAGCTATATGACTACATCTCTAGGATTATCTAAATAAGTAGAATTAGAATCTAAAATTCCGACCTAGAATTAGATTCTAGAAATAGATCTGCTGGATTGAAGAGGATATGCATTTATAATTTTAATAGATCTTTGCTAAATTGTTCTTAGTAGAGATTGTACTAATTTATATTCCACCAACATTAAGAGTTTGTTTCCCACAGTCTAGTCAATAATTTATCAAGCCTTCAAATCTTTTGTCAGTCTAATGGTTGAAAATAGTAGTCTCATTGTATTTATAATTATTTATCTTATTATTGTGAAATTTAGTGCCTTTTCATATGTTTAAGAGCTTTGTGTCTTCTCTGAAAACTTTATGCACACCACCTTTGCCCCCTTTTCAACTGGAATATATGTTTTTCCTTTTTGGTTTTTAAGAATTCTTTATAACCATTCCTTTATAATATCAGTTGTACATACTTTTTTCTGGTTTATCATTTTGTTTGACCTTGCTAATAGTAATAGCAGTTGTCGTTTTGACAGAAATGATTGCTTTTCATATAATCAGATTCATCACTTTTTATGGCTTTTGGGTTTTCTTCTAATGTTTTTGTTTAATTTTTTTCTCTGTTTCTATCTGGTTATTTCCTTATTATCATTTTAGATTTTTGTGTTAACTCTCTTAAATTTTTGCTGATAAAATTTTATATACAGTAGATCTTCCTTTTTCACAGATTCTGTATTTGCAAATTTGTCTGCTTGCTAAAATTTATCTGTAACCCCAGAATCAGTATTTGTGGCACTTTCACTACCATTCATGGACACATGCCGAGAGATGAAAAATTTGAGTCACCTGACACAAATATTCTCAGCTGAGGTTGAGCAATGCTGTTTTCTTGTTTCAGTTCTCATACTATAAATGAGTGTCCTTTTCATAATCTTAGTGCTACATTTTTCACATTTTGAGTTTACTCTTTAAAATGACCCACAAGCATTGTGCTGAAGTGCTATCTAGTGTTCCCAAGTGCAAAAAGGCTGGGACATGCCTTACAGAGAAAATACCTGTGTTTGATAAGCTTTATTCAGGCATGAGTTATAATGCTGTTGGTTGTTGAGTTCAGTGTTAATGAATCGACACTATGTATTAAATCATGTGTCTTCAACAGAAACACATAAAACAGGTTGATAAAAATGTGACCAGAAGCTTGCAGGAACTTAGCCCTGTATTTCTTCTAGGAGCAATGGCATAGTATTCATAAATGCAGTGTTGATGATGACTTTTTTAGAACATAACTGCTGTGAATAACGAAAATCAACTATTTCTTTTTAAGTCATTTTATAAACAGTATATAGAAGAATAGAGATAGTGAAAATAACTTTGTTAGCAATTTTAATGAGGATTCAAATAAAGCAAACCCAAATTTTTATACCATATTTTCCTAGTTTTGAATTTATACAGTATATATATACGTGTGTGTGTGTATGTGTATCACCATCCAAAATACACAACATTCTTTGCTGTGTGTGTGTGTGTGTGTGTGTGTGTGTATCACCATCCAATATACACAACATTCTTTGCAGCTAACTGTTCACTAGCTTTAATTCATGAACCTGGAATATGTTTATCTGATAAATACTGATTCTAGATTTCAAATGCATCTCTACTGTATTCTAGAGTACATTTTGAGTTTATTTCTCTGATTATTTCTCTGATTATTCATGCTCTTGCTTCATCAAAATGCAGTACTTTCTGAAAACTTCATGGCTTATAATTTTGTTGAATAAACATGTTAGCTATCTTCTTTGTTGCATAACGGCAAAACATTTTAATTTTACATTTATAAACATCAGTTAGAATGATCAGTCCAGTTATTTTTCATTTCTGCATCATCTGTTACCTTCCAATGACTTATATACATCTGTCTTCTACATTTATCTGCTTACAAACTATCAAGTAAATTTCGATGCACAAGTATCATAAAAGATGAAAGAATAATGTCACATGTCCTTTTATCAATATGAGATGGGATTTTATCAAAATATTATAAAATCCTGTTGATTGACTAACTGGATGACTCTACCATATTTCCTTTTGTTCTCAGAAATATATCAATTCTTGATTTGAGAAAATTCACCTAAGTAGAGTATGTCATGTCATCTGAAGACCTGAGACTGCTTATATGAACAGTTCACCATCATTATTAGTCTAGAGTAGGATCAAAATTTTTTTCTTAATGAGTTAGATAGCGGATTTTTTAGGCCACAGTTTTCTATTCACTGGTCTGATGTTGCTATCTTTTTATATTCATCTTCTAATGGTTTAATTATTATGAAGCAACTTATGTCAATTTTGCCGTTTGCTGTTATGGACAAAAAATGAAAAAGTCTGAATTTTCAAATGTGTTCAAGGAACGCTTGGGGAAAAATAGACTACAAGGATGGTATCCTCCAACTTCCATTAAAACTTCTTAAAAGATAATCCAATACTTTGGGCAACAGAATACGATAACTAAAGGATGATATAATAATGATGCTTTAATATCACTACTTGTGGTTTCTTTCATCATCTTTTTAGATGATTCCATCCTTCCGTGTCAATATTAGTCTTTTTTTTTTTAAGAGCATAGTTGGAGGTGGCTGGTGAGTGTATTATATATTGCTGCATAACAGAGTACCCCCAAATTTAGCACCTTATAACACAAATTTATTATCTCTAGTTTCTGTGGGTGGGGAATCCAGGAGCAGCTTAGCTACATGGTTCTCATAAGGCTGCAGTCAAGTTGTCAGCCTCAAGATTATAGTCATCTAATGGTTCTACTGGGGCTAGAGGATCTGCTACCAAGCTCACTAACATGGTTGTCAGGAGGCCTCAGTACCTGCTACTTGAGGCTCCTGGCAGCCTGAAAGTCCTCACAACATGGCAGCTTGCTTCTCCAGAGCAAGTGATCCAGTAGAGAATGAGCAACACCATACCCACTTGTAGAACTTAGTCTCTGAAGCACACATC